AGCTTTATTGTACAGTGTACAAGAATCCTACAGACAAGCAGATCGAAGAACGAGGTCCCTATCAAGTGTGGCCATTGCAAAGTGGGGAGTGGTCCTGTTGGTGGACCTTCAGGGATCGACGGGAGACTTTCTAGGTCAGGGATCGACGGGAGACTTTCTAGGTCAATGCTGTCAAGCAAGCCGGCCTCCTCCGAATGGTGTCATTAATGGTTACCCCATTAGCAGTGTGAGTGATCGGAAGAGACATGGACATTCCACTAGGTTGCTCTCGCTACTTCACTTGGCAGTTCGAGTCCACTAGACACCTTTACCGGGACTGCTCGGCGTCTAGAAGGGTATGAAGATGGTGGGCTCAGCACTGGGCTCAGTTGGAAGGGGAGGACGTTGTGTAAGACAAACATTGGGTACTTGTGGGATTTGTCTGAGAGGACCACTTGGGGAAGAAGGGCTGGCCTTGTGACGATCTCTTACATGTAAGAGTGCCATTTTCTGCATAGGGGTACTGAGGAGGTTGGAGAAGAGAGAGGGGGGGGGGGGGGGGGGGGGCAATTGCACTAATGCCCCCGTTCTTTTGGGAAAGCTGGGACCACGACGATTGCGAGGATGCCCCATAGCGAGCACGGAAAATAGCGGCTGAAGCAGCGTCTTTTCTTTCTTTTTGTCTTGTTGATCACGGAACTGGGCGGGGATTTTTTGATGCGGTTACTGCGCAGGGAAGTTTCTTGAATTTCTTATTCAATTTTGAACCGATACAGGTTCTCAGAATTTCTTCTTGCAATTAGGATTTAATTAGGCTAGGAATTTGGGAGCATTGTAATTTTGGTTGTAACGGCACAGGGCTCCCTACTCATGCACGCATTAGTGCGTATTGCTCTACACCCCGCTCCCGAAGCGCCTAAATTCCAATTGCAACTATAATCGCTTCTTTCTCTTTCTTGGCGAGCGCAAACGTAACTGTAATCCTCGCCGTTCTTAATCTTTTCTCTTTCTTTTTGCCACACGAAGTTTCTCTGCGCCTTTCTCTCGTCTGTCTCATTGGCTTACATGCGCATGACAGGATTGATGTGTGGACAGCGGCTACGTCCCCCACAACGCGGCTCCCTCGTGCACGCGAAGGAACTCCCTCCTTCTCACTTCGTCCTGCTTCAGTATAATCCGAAATTACATCGTGCAAATACCAACTGCTATAAAGCTCGAAAGCGCGACTAATTCACTGCCTAATCTATACTTGGGAGTTGGCGTGATCGAAAGGATCGGTTAACGAGCGGAGACAGAAAGGTGGGCAGGGAGTTGGGCGTTCCAACAAGTTGGTGCTAGATATGAGAGGTTGACGTGTGTCCACGAAGGACTGTGGCATAAGGGTGAACCTGGCTTGCATACTCAGACCAAGCAGGGTGACAACTTCGGGTTGTTGATCGGTGCGAGGCGACGGGCTGTCCGCATTTTGGGAATATTGAGAGAGAGAGAGAGAGAGAGAGAGAGAGAGAGAGAGAGAGAGAGAGAGAGAGAGAGAGAGAGAGAGAGAGCGATGGAGAGAAGATGGTGTGCTGAAAAGGGAATTGTTTTCTTCGCATCTTCTGTGTAATTTTGATCTCTCGATTCGGCCATTCTTAATTGCGACACTTTATGGACTTTCCCATCTCTTCTTGAATTGATGTATGAAGCATCTTTATCTCCCCCACCTCTTCGTTTTGATTGTTTGAAGGATTGTTGATTGTAGAAACAACGGTGCAAGAAATAAACGCCTTGCGGAAGTGTGAAGATATGTATGCGAGTCCACCCACTTGTGACATAATAATGCCCTTGTGATGATCGGACGTGTGATTGGTTATTTCACGCAAACCAACCTGGATCAAAGTAGATGTATGTAGAACGAGCCGGGTGCGAATCTGTGCATATGCCTGAGTACGGGTTGGATTTTTCTCATGCATGAATTGCACACAATTGATATCTAATGTATAAAAACGCAATATTCACTTTATTCCTTACGACCGACGAATGGCCATCCGATCTATCTGAGTTGATTCGGACTCGGTGGGAACCAATCAGGTGCACGCACATATACAAGTGATCGCTAGACGACAGTCATCCCGTATACGAGTGTTTGCCTGACCCGGCACCTCCTCTGGTTCCACGGCCAAATGTACGAGTTAAGCACCCCTTGCCCAACATGGATGTCGGTCTGCTATTCTGGATCATGGACTGTGCCAGTCTGAGGACCCCGAGTACAGGGAATACTGGGAAAACGAACAACTCTTCCTCCGATCAAAATTACGGCTTCCAGTTTACCCCCGTCAAACGAAGGACGATCGGTTGTGTGCTCGGGACTTTCACTAGGCCCTTGGCCGGAATTCTCGAACCCCAGAGATTACACCGACCCCCGTAATTATCAGTAACATCTTACACCGGGGTTCGTCGTCATTGATACCGACTTCCCTCCATTCTATCTCCTTCTCCCCTATCACCATCTGACGGTAGTTCCCTGGGATTCGATCTCACACTGCTGGCCCCGGAGGCCGTGTTTTGAGTGCTATCAGTACAACACTTACCGGGCGGCGGGATTCGTATGACGGACCCGCTCTGAAGCTGAGCACCGAGAACACAGTCTCCGGATGAGGCCGTCCACGTCAGACTCGGAGATTTGTGAAACTCGTCGCCGACAGGTGTTTGAACAGAGAGACACCCAGTGCGTTCCATCAGTGCACCAGTTGCGAGCCCGCCCGAGACGATGAGGCCGACGAAATTAGCCATTCGATCAAGAGAAAAGGCAAAACCCAAGACCTGGCCCTGCACAGAAACCACTTTTCCATCCCCAAACCTTGACACCGGAGATCTCAGTTCCGACCAGGGACTCCACCCCACTTCCCTAAAATCCTTGGCACACCCCTACTATGCACTTCCGGGCCCCCTATCACTCCGAAAACAGGAAGTCGCACTGGGCAGGAGGTGGGCATCACAGCCCTGCATAGGCCATGTCTCCAGGACAATCATCTGATTTGGGCAGACAGCAACAGCGCCCGCTTTGATAACAGGCCATACTCTTATGTGGAAATGAAAAGGGCAATGAAGAGTGGTCTCAGGCGAGCGACCTGATAGCTCGGGGTGGCGTAGGAGAGCTGGGTGTGACAGGGGCTCAAGGCGCACCCGGTGGTGGTTCTTTTGGACGCGAGCCCAAGGCAATGGCTTGGCCGGGGTCCACAGCACTCCGGGTCTGGTTTTGTGCAAGTGGCTGCAGCAGTAGAGTTGAGGTTAACAGTACATTCTAGGCGATGGTAGGCGGAGGCAAGAACTAGGGAAGGACTCGTAGCAGTAGGCTGGGGGGAGCGGTAACTACGAGGGGGACCAGCGCTGTCGGTCAGAAGGGGGGAGGTTAGAGAGTGTGGACTCTGTGGAGGTA